AGAGTTTTTACTAGGTATTCTGATGCTTGTCTTGGGAATAAAATGATCTGTAACTCGCATGTGGACACACACACGGCATCGACCAATGTGTGGGAGTGAGTTTTATCGAAGGACCCTCTCTCTGTATCTTATACGTAGGGATAATATCGAAAACAAGAAACACAAGATGTACTTAAGATTTCTATCTTATGGGTTGTTGCGCCGTGTAGTCTGGTATAAGTATACTGACTATATATTATATATTAAATCTTGTCCGTCTAATCACAATAAATTCTTATTAAATATTAAAATATTACAATAATTAACATTTTAAAATATTAAATGATGTTCTTTATCGAAATATTCGATTTACATTAGACCATTATTTTTCATGTTTCACGACATGTTTCAGTTCCTAAAAGAACCATCCTCAAGTGTATATAATTATATAAAGCTTCAAAACGATAAATAATTTAAATACAATTTTCATACATTATGTTAGCGTACATTTTTATCAGATTTTTACCAGATATCAAACGATGTTCTTTTTCAGATTTTTATTCCATTTTTAATAACACACTCGATGTTGTTCTGTATATATATACATCATGCTCAATGTGACTTTAGTGTGGGTGACCGTTTTGTTGTTTTTGTATCAGTCTGTAATGTAAATAACATAAAGGTTAAATGAATATTAGTAAAATACTGACGTTTCGGAGGTTTTTCCTGCCTCCATCATCAGGGCGATCGCTCTGATGATGGAGCCTTCTGTCAAGACATTGCATTCCCCCCCTCCTCCCAAGTTTTCTTCAAAGGGCATTTTGGCCAGAACACAAATACCAGTCCCGAAATACCTAATATTCTCGCCTAACACAGCGAGAGTCATAAGACCGTCTTAGTTTTCAAAAATGAAAGTCTACTTGGAAGTCTATCTTTTTGAATCACACAAAGATATTCAGAAAAAAGAAATCAAAGGACGAGTCGACCTCACTCTTTTATATTCAAACTTCCAGAAGCTTCTCTGTTATTCAATTGTCAGACTTCGTATCGCAGAGACCCGCAATTGCACAGTTCCCTGCCTGTAATATAAATAACAGGCACACGTGGCTTCGACCTTGCAAGTAAAACAATTCCTCTGTCATAAAACACAGAACTAAAGAGACATTACGAGGGCTAAGAAATACAGCGTGTTCCATTTCAAACGCAACACGTGAGCCCCCTCACGCACAAAACGCCGAAACCAATGGCGGTATCGATTTATGGCAGCCGTGTCCCGAACCACTGTTTGAAATTGGTAGGCCGTAATTTCAGCTGTTCTGTCGCTCGATGAGTATTTGTCGAGGACAAACACTTCCTGTAGCCCGAAATCGAGTTACCACTCGGCGTAATGTTTTCCTGCAATTTCTTGTCAGGACACGCACTGTTAAAAGCTTCACAAAGACCAGCAAACAATCCCATTGCTAAGTAACGTTCGACAATGAACACACGTCCTGCTCTTGAATACGTGGTGTTCGCATTTGCACAACTTTTGCGCAAATACAATGAGTAGCGGCCTAGCAACCAGGGTGACCTTGACTTCAGTGTAACGTGGGAGAGTCTATTACACCTGTCGTGATAAATAAGCAATTCCGTCTAAATTATTTCAGAACACACCACCCCCGGGGGTACGTGAAATTTAAAAGAAATATATTATTTTATGATAAACACTGAATAATCAGTAATGTAATTTATTTAATTTATTTTAGATGTAGATTATATACTATGTATAACTTGAATTATACACCAACAACTTTGGGGGTACGCGAACAAAAAAAGGTTGAATACCACTGGTCTAGACTATGACGTAAGCGTCTGAAAACAACGGATGCTTGTTACTTAACAGCTACGAGCTTTTCCTCACGGTGTAAACCACTCAGACGCCAGCGGGATGACGGAATCACAATGCGACGGATGTACCGAGCGCCTTGGACGTTTAAACATCCGACTGTCGAAACATCCAGCACTACCGCCTGACTTCAAACACATGTTCCTGCAGACATGTGGTACCACCGGGACTGCAAGTGATGACGAACGGGTGAGACGGGCGGACTCCGTTAAGACACACACACACACGTGTGGAAAATAAAAAATGAAGCCGATAAAACCAAAGCCAGCCTTTGGATAAAATTCATTGTTCTTATTTCCCTTATTACTGACTCCACTAAAACAATATAAATAATAAAAAATAAAATTTAACAACTTCTGTTTGTATTCATTTCGATATTTTACGTGATTATGATTTAAGATGGCTGTCTTCCGAGTTGTTGACTATTATACAGACAAGAGTAATCTCCATATTGTCCGTACATGTTCATAAGATAGTAATAATTAAAAAAGTAAGTTTATTATTTAAATGCAGCTTATTGAAACAAAAAATTTCTATTACGTAACTAGAAATGTAATTGTTGTAAACAGAATATTTTCAAAATGTGTTTCCTCCCGTCATACATTGCGAATTAAAGCAAACAAAATATTCTGGGCGACATATTTAAAAAAAACACAGACACAATAACTGTTTACATTTGCATTTCAAACCAGGCACATACATATACAGTGCGAAATGCTGTTAACATGGAAATCAAGGCTATAGAAATATGTGTTACAGACCTACGACATAACGTGTTTTAAGTTTCATGCAGAACGGACGGCTTTTAAGAATGTAAAGATTTAAATGTGTTATAACTCGTACTTATTACCAACAGTGAAATGGATATTTTCCCATCTATGTAGAAGATCAACGTTTTTTTCCCGGAGGAAAACTCCGTGTTGCCTAGACCACGGCCTTGCCCAACACAAGTTATAAATTCGGGCACCGCCGGGAATCGAACCCGAGACCCCAGGATTACAAGGCTAGCGTTAGGTTTGTAAGTGTGTGTAATGGTGATATCTTTTTTTCCTACAAGCTCTGGAAATCACAATCTTTAATCAAGAAATACTAGTCCGGAAATGATGTCAGTTACTGTACAACCACCCACTCGCACGCACACACGAAAAGTATGTGTGCGTGCATACACATTAAACATTTAAATTGTTTTCTCAATATATTTTGCACACGCATACGTTGAATATACCTACATATTGGCTGGCTGCGTCCGAAGATCATTTCTGATAACACAAAACAACACAGATATTTCAAATATCGAGAACGAAATCTAAGACTGTGAGAAAAAACTGACTAAACACATGTAAAGAGAGAATTATGATATTTTTGACGTCATATAGTTTTAACAAATAAATGTTTTTATAAATGCATCGTCGATATAATTTTTTTTAGATGTAATAAAAAGTACATGAACACTTATTTACCCACTGGCGAAACAGAGGGTATATTGCAAATAATGTTATTTGTGGTTTCATTCCTATATGCCCAGAATATCCACGTTCTCCAGGTTCATGGATGGATTATATAGCGCACATCCGGTCCCCTTCACCGTTTTAAAACGAAACCACCACTTCCGGCCGCACTTCAACGCCATCTCTTATCGCAAACCCTAAATAGGCTGTACCTCACGTAATCACTATTTTGGTGGAAACGCGAGGTATAATGGAACATTTAACATAAATAACGTAAAATTGTGATGAAATGAGAGACCATGCCTTTGTTTAAACGCGGCCCATTGTCTATCACCAGACGATATACGACAGGGGAAGTTTTGTTCTTTTGGTGTGTAGAACTCAACTCAAAAAATGTATACAGACTTTTCAGATACACCTGTATATTGCACACGTTGTAAGTAAGACCTAAATCTTCCAAATACGAAATAAGATCTTAGAGATAATTTTAATACAATCTATTAAGAAAGACCCTATCTAAAATATATATTTGTACTATCATAGCAAATTTATGAATAGTAACCAGTCAGGTTGTCAATTATCCGGGAGAAATATTACAAAGTATCCTGCAAAAACGATTTTCGATTCACCGGCTACTTAAAATGAATTATGTACAAAGATATTCAAATTCATAAAAGTTACGGGACACGCCACTAAGGAGTGGTATCTATAAAAAATATTCAGGCAGTTTTTAAGCTATATTAAATGGATGTCCACATCAGAGTACGCAGACACCCCCCTGTTTTACCAAAGCGGTAAGTTAAAATATATCAAAAATTTATTCATATTTTAATTTTAATAATTTTTATACTTGTTAATATCTGATCCCTCACTCCGTACGTCGGAGTTAGTTACGTATCCAACGTAGGTTTATTGCATTTCGTCTATCTGGACGTAGAATAGCTATTTAAAAGTGACCTTATATCATCCGAAAAAAATACAGAAATTTTTATGCCTATGTAATTTTCTAGCTACAGACAAAATATTCAGCTCCAAATCCAATAGAAATTACTTTTATTCGCAATGGTAAAGATCTGTGGCCAATCCACAGTGGCACACAAACTCCCTACTCACAAAGGCAGCTTCGCCATATACAGTTCTTGAAGAAAGTTCATTATAAAGAAACTCGTAAAAGATTAAAGTCAATGAATATTTTTACGGCGTAATTCTGTGTGTGTGCGCTCAACTACTGACTTCACAGGACAATCCTCTAAAATTTGTAGCGGTGTTCTAATTCAGCAGAGGAAATAAAACGTGAAACTGCCTTTACCCTGGTCTCCCATAAATATTTATCGAGTTTTGACATTTCCCATTTCAAACGTTTTATCTTACAGAATAAACTACGATGTTTACTTTTGATAAAGATTCAGAAGAGGCGTGAGAATAATAAAGCGGTGAGAAAGGAAAGTGGGACTAATGTCAGACGCGAGGGAAATTCGATTTGGCACCTGTGTTTCCGAAAACTGAAATCAAACTTTGAGGTGGGATGAAGCGTCTAGTTAGATTCATTTTCTGTCATTATTAATACATTGCATGGATAATAGCAAATGGTAACATCAGAGGAATTAGACAGGCCATGTAATAGGTGTGAAAAGTGTAAATTATAATCATTAGAAATAAAGCAATGAAGAA